AATAAAAAATTTACCTCAGAATTACACTTAAAACAGAAGAGTAATTTATTTTGTGAATGAATTGAAACCAGTAAGTCAGAAAAGTTAAAGAATAGAAATAAATAAAATTGCACTCTCTGTATTTTTTCCAGTTGCATAATTCAAAAGTAATTCTGACTTCATACTGAACCAAGAAGGACATTATTCATTAATATAGGCTAGGGATGGCATACAAGACCAAGATGAAGACACCTAGTCCTGGTTATCCAAAAACGGGTGTCTTTAAGCACAGCAATGCTCAATGCATTGCCTAAGGACAGCTTCCCACTGACATCTGAGACATCCTATAGCACCTGGAACATCTGGATGGGGCTCACAGATATGGCCAATGAGTTATAAGAAACCATGTTCCCGTAGTGCAGCAGCTGGAGGCCAGACAGAAAACTCAAATTACACTAGACACCAACATTTAAGCAACCAGACAGAACATTTAATGTCTCATTACAAATCAATAGAGATCTCATCAGCATCGTCAGTGCAGTTTGGAGACCAATTCAATTCTCCAATTCACTCTAAAGCAGACATCTAGTCGCCAGTGAGTTGCACTGCTGTATACAGGCATACAAATTTAGTTGTCTAAATCTCAAGCTGAGTCCTACCACAGGTGTCTTTAAGTCTATCTTTACATTCATCAATCCCAGCAGTGTTCTAATATTCAAAAGGCAATAACTGCGCCTCGTATGACCCAAATAAGTTAACAGAAGTTACATTATTTCCCTTCTCCAGTGATTCGCATGCAAAAATATAGTCAACGAGCTTCTTGTTTTCCACTCTAATTAAAGATGCATGTCAATCAAGTAAACGCTCATTTTCTTCACAGGAGAGTTACTACAGACAAAAGGAAACTTGGTGCTTCAGAATACTGAATCAGCAGAATACTGCTCTAGTGCCTCCGGAAGGTAACAACAAGCATCTGGATTTTGCCCTGGATCGCTCCTCATCCACTCACCTATCTACGTTAACATTTTAGTACAAATCTGGAGCGCACATTTCATGTGACTCTCCTGATCATTCCCACTTAACACTTAACTTAGGTTATAACCTACATTACTAAGGCAGTGCCGAAGGAAACCATCTTACCAACAAGCTACAAATCATCTCTAAAGACTACATAATAAATTAAGTTTAATATGCAAACATCAAGAAACAAAAGAACAAAATAGCATTTCCAAGTGCAAGGGTTTAATTTCTTTTATCTTTTGCTTTATTTTGTCTTATGGAAAAAATTAGGGACATGAACGCTGACGATAGCAACACATTCAGCAACTTCACAATTTCTTAGATTATATCCAGTTACAGGAACATCCTACTCACTCCATAAACATGAAATATTAAAATTTAATAGCCTTAATATTTAAGTGCAAAAAAGCTACCATAAGAACTGTACCTCCAAAAACTGTTGTCAGGACCCATGGCTACTCTCATGTAGCAACTCCTCCGTTACATCTTTTAAATTTAAAGCTGATTGTGTATTTTCCTCTAAAATGTTTAGCAGCCACAATAATACTTCCGTTAGAAATTAGCTAGCATTGCTGTTTGAGGAATTCACTTACAGAATCCAGTGCAGCTGCATTTTTAACATGCAAAGTACGTAAAAAATATTTTTCTTTGTCAGATTTAGGAGATAATACCCACAAAAAGCACACACAATGAAGAAAATTATAGTTATGAAGACAGTAAATTTGAAACATGTATTATTAAAAATTAGACACCATAGATGGCATCAAAGTATAAGTCCTAAAATTAAGAGGTGGTGGTCATAGAACATATTTGAATGAGTAGACAAAAACTATGGGAATCACTCTTTATCAAGGGTGGATTTGGGAACCTAAAATTAGCCTGAAAATAGAAAACTGTAACTAGGTAGCTTTTCCTCTTGGTGATATTCATTCCTGTAGCACCTAATTCTGCCAGCAAGCATCACTGTCTCCAACATATTATTTAAGGATTTTGTAATTTCAGGTGCCACTCCCTCTCTTGCTCTTATGCAATACCTTTCTTCTGAGAGCTGCAAAGGTTTTTATATAAATAATAAGGTATATAACAACTATGAATTAGCAAGTTCCACCTTTCATGTATGGAACTGAAACAGAGCTAACATGGTCCAGATTTACCAATTTTCTGAAGTCATGTCTCACAGAAAAGCTTCCAATAACTCTAATTTGCTTGGGAAAATTACTGTGTCCTAAGTGAACTCTCCTGCAGTTTGAAGGCATCTTATTGCAGTAATAGCTAACACGAAAGAGAGAGGAACTGCTATTTTTCCTTGAATCAGATTTTGGTGATATGTGTGACTACATGTCCAAAACAAGTGAGCACTAACACCACAGAGGTATCAGTCGTGACTCTCTATCTGTGGGCGAATGCCATTTCACACTTTAAAAAAACTAATTCAAATCCTGCTACGCTTAAAAAATGCATCATATGCTTTTCCAACCTGAATGACCAACACGGAGTGAGTTCTCTAAATATAAGTTTAAACATAAATTCATTGATTTATGAGTGAATACATCTAGACCAAATAAGAAAAATCTGATTCCTCAGAGCATTGCCGTCAGCCTCAGCATGATTCAAAATGATTTTTGGCAACAGCGGGAAGCAGGCTCTTCTCATCCTGCTGCAGCCCATTTAAAGTTTAAGCACGTTTTACGGAGAAGCAAGGTAGCAGCAAAGCTCAGAGCAACTGTTTCTAATTGTTGTGATTATAAGGACAAGATGCAAAATGAGTCCAAGGGCTCATGCAGGAGGCCATTTTGACAGAGATGAACCTCCCTCTCCAGCTAATTCGCACATGGCAATCCTATTAAGTAGAGTAACATAGAGAAGGGGCTCACGTCAAAAGTTTTCACTGATAAATCACTTCTTCCCAGCTGCCACTGTTCTGTAAAGATCCTACAGCTGGTGACAGGATTCAGAATTTTGGCTCATAAAGCTCCCCACGGTACTGCTGGCTCCGTTACAGCGTGGAAAAAAGTAACCTTAGCTGGATAACTACAGTCTGACCATACAGGCCATGTTAACCGTACAGGCAGAGGGACTGGCTCTTTCCTTCTGTTTGGGGGCTTTATAGTGCTTTGGGGTTTTTTATTATTTTTGGTGATATTAATCTCCACAGTACTCTTCTGAATCAATAAATCCATTACAAAATAAAGGCATTTTCATCAGCTCACTTCAGCTGCTGTGCCAAAAAAAAAAAAAAATCTTAATTAGACAATATTTTTGAGCTGCTTTGTTATAACCAGCAGAATGGTGAACTTGCCCTCAACTGTTAATAATTAAAAAGTCATTTAAGGCTGTGTATCTTCAAAGTATTAAAAATAATTATGTGACAGGACTGTTATGGGGTATGCTTACTTAATATAGCTCAAAGAAATGAGATAAGAATTACTTACTACAGATGTACGTATAAGGTTGCCTTGCAATGAAGGTACACGTGTGCGAGAGAGGAACGGAGCAGGAGATGCTCATCTGGAAAAGACTACATAACTCAGAAAATTTTCTCCAAATATTCTTTAGTGGAATCTGTGCTTTTTACGTAATCTTAGAAACACAGTCACGCAGATAAGGCAGTATTAAATGGATCACTGCTGAGTCTGGAAAGGAAGATAAGTTAGCCTTTGGTGCTTAGATATTCGCTTTCTGACAGCTGTTCTTTCCCACAAACTTCCTCTGCCAAGCGAAGATTGCTTGGGAATGACAAGTCTGTGCTTTGGAATAAACAAGATCTTTCCTCTGACAGGGTGTTGGAAACGGATGCTTAAGATACAGATAACAGTATAGTCTGTCAGGTGTATTATATAGCTTGAGGGGGTCTCACGGAAAACGCACTAAGTCACACGAATAGCTACATATGCCTAACTGTTTATGAATCTGTACTATTCCAAATGATACCAAGAGAAGGAAATCTT